TAGTTTTTCATCACACTTCAAATATATACTTTGCAAACTACACTTTAATACAACAAATTGGACTGTATACTCAGTCTTCTGATTACCAAGGGTGAGAGGTAAAACAAAAAACAAAAACTTTTGTTTATTTATATGTATGTATCAGATATTTTAAAAGAAGGCTTAGTTCGTAACTTACTTCTCATAAGGATACTGCTCATAAGAACTATAGAAAAAGCATAAGAAAAAGCATGGGGAAGAGGGAGAAGAGAACAGAATAACATTATATGTCAAATTAGCCTTATCATAAGTTTCTATTATCAAAACTTTAGGCTTCAAAATGTTGTCTTTTCTTTCATGCTTAAAAAAGTGATACTGAGGATTAACCTCTGGATCTTTGCACTGAGCTACATTCCAATTACCTTTTTTATTATGAGACAATATATTACTAGTAACTAAATTACCCAGGCTGGTTTGAAACTTTCTATCCTGTTACTTCAGCTTCCCAGAGTGCTGTGCTTACAAGTATGCACTACCATACCTAACTCTGAAAAAATGTTTGCAGTAAGGGATATATACAAATGAAAAAATTTAGAGAATTTAATTTGGGAATGGAAATTATTTGATCTTTCCTCATTAGTATTTCTTTTACATTTTCTGCGTTTTTATATTATTTAATCACTTTCATTCTCACTAAAAGTTTTAAATCTTTATTAAAGGGTCAAATGGATGAACAGGTGAAAAGTTCTACATTTTTCAATAAATAAATTCTGAAAACCACATACGTAGAAATTAGAAAAGCTGCAGGGCAAGTTGTAATCACTGTAGAAAAGTAACACAAAAATCTCACAATTTAGAATTAAAGGACTTAATCCACTGAATATGCTGTTATAAAAAATTTACTGACATGGATTACATGAAAATTGTGCCACCTGATGTTAAGGAAATAAATATAAAAGTTTATAAATGGAAATGTAACTTTCACAATCTGGGGAAGAAACATTATACTTTGCCTTAGCTCCTAATGGCTGATTTCAATAAGAAATACATACACACAGAGTAAAAAGCTACAGACTGCTGTGAATTAATTTATTACTAAATTAAATTGATATTTATAATTACACTGCACTCTTGGCTAGGGCAGGTTTGCAGAGGTTTAAACAGTTTATTAACAAACATAATTTGTATGTTACAAAAATAGGAACTAGTATACTTTTCAGGCAAAATCATACTTTCATCCCATCATCTTCAGAATACAAACGTATTTGTTCTAATTCCTTTCCCATACTTTATTTCTGGGTTTTTTGTTTTGTTTTGTTTTTTGACCATACTTTGATACAATGTATTTATACCAACAAAATTTGAATCATTACAGAGAACTGAACGTTTTTTCTAGGCTCTTGAGGAATCTAAAGGTTCTTATCATCGAATTTTTAAAAATATTACTAGAAAATACAATATATGAAAAGTAACCTCTCCCATCTTGGCAACTGAATGAAATATATTTTGAGGGGAAAAAATACAATATAGTATATTTAGCAATATACAAGCATTTAAATCCAATTTTGTGTGTATACAAAATAGCAAAACACATATTGTTCAAGTGATTAAAGATAAAATGCATCTTAATCATCTAATAATTCTATTTTCAACAAATCATTATGATAAACTGTGTCACTTGTATTATGAAAACGAAAATAATTAGAATGGTGATTTATAAAAGACTTCTTTTTTTTTTAATTTTATTTTACTGGTACATTTTAGGTATACAATATAATGACATTCATCATTGGAAATCTGCACCTTTACATAATCTCTCCTGGTTCTTATTTCTTCTCCATTCCCCTGCCCTACCTTCACCACCCCCATCTCTATTTACAAAGACTTTGTTTCCATTTTTTCATTTTCTCATATTAATTCGGTTCCCTTCTTTCCTTTCCCCTACCCCTCCCACTTCCCCTTTGCCCCTTTTCTTCGTATTTCACATTATCTATTATACCTTTTAGTCCTTATTTCAATTTCTCACACTAGAGAAACTATTCAGTATTTATACATGTGTGTCTTATTTATTTCACTTAAAGAGTATTGCCTCAATGTGCATCCATTTAGCTATAAATGTCTCTAACTTTCCATTTTTTCTGGCTGAGTAGTATTCCATTTTATTAAAAAATCACATTTTCTTTATCCAGTCTCCAGTTGATGGGTATTCGGGCTGTTTCCAAGTTTTAGCTATTACAAAGTGCGCTGCTATGAACATGAGTGCACATATATCAAAGACTTCTTTGATTAGGCCACTAACTCAAATACTAGAAGAAAAACATTTAGAAATATGAAATAAATGCCTTTTGAATAATTTCAAATGTTATATAACTCATTCTCACTTTTGGTAACTATTCCTTCACTATACCATAACATCTGACAATATTCACAAAAATATTTTAAAGGCATATCTTCATTTATCTGAATTTCTTACCATCTAGTTGTTTAAAATGAAGCTACAAAAGTAATGATTTCTTGTTATCACATAATTTTACAATATTCTTTATACTTTTCTTTCCCACTAACCTATTCTTATGTTAACAGTTTTGATAACTTAATTCTTACTTTCTTCTTTTTATTTCCTTTAAACAAGTTGTTGCCAAATTTGGTGGACATTAGAATTACTTAGTAAACTTTTAAAATTTCCTATACTCAGGTCACATACTTTATAAATTAATCGATGTCTGGGGGATGTGGGAAAGAGCCATCTATCAATAGTTTTTAAAGATGCCCAAGGGATGCTAATGTGGAGAAAAGTTTGGCAGCTACTATCTTAAACTTTTTTGGGGGGGACTGGGGATTAAACTCGGGACCTTGTGGTTGCAAGGCAGGGGCCGGAACCACTGAGCTAAATCCCCGGCCCTTTAAAATCATAATAGTGTCTCTATAAAATGTTTAGTGTATAGTACAATTCTTACTACTTTTTATCTATGACCTGAGTCACCTGTATTACAATCCTGGCATGGGGGAGTCAATCTAGCAGCCGGTGAATAAACCTACCTATTACACCTTAATCTAGTTATATCTTCTACTTGGCCATACATAAACCTTTGAGTAACAAATGCTTTTGTTTGTTTTTTAGTGAAAAGTAGCCCCATAGAAATATTTCAGAATCTCCATGTTTAATTTTTTAAGTTAACACAGCACATATGTCTTATATTCCTTACAATCCCAACAGAGTCGGGGCAGCCCCTCTAATCAAGAACATTAACACTGGCTACAGTTTAGACCTAGAATTCCCCTAAAAGTCGAAAAAGGCTTGTTCCCCAGAGTGATGTTACTGGAAGGTCTTCAAACATGTAAATGGTGGGCTTAATGGGAGGTCTTGGATCATTGAAAGTATGCCCTCAAAGTGGATATGGGTGTCTTTCCCTAACATGGGGTTAGTATGGTGCTCCACAGGCCCAAAACTCAATGGGGCCAAAAGATAATGGACTAGGACATCCAAAACTGTAATCTAAAATATATACATTGTCTTTATTAATGGATCATCTCAGATAATGTTATCAAAATCTAACATAGTATTTCACAAACAACACAGGTATATTCAAATTGAAAAAATCTTTTGAGCTGGGCATAGTGGCATGTGCCTGGAATCTCAGCATTTGGGAGGCTGAGGCAGGAGGATCCCCATGTATTGAAGGCCAGCCTGTGATACACAGGGACTTCAAAAGTAGCTTGAACTATATAGCAAGAGCCTGTCTGAAAAAAAGAAAATGAATCCTATGGCATTTCAGAGGCCTTTTGGATTACAAAATTGAAGACAAGGAATTGTGGCATATATTATGCACGGTCACAATGTAAGGTTCTTCTGTGGAATATAACCAAAACAGTCTGAAAGCCACTAGAAGTATGTTTCTATAAAGAAACACATCTAAAATATTTTTAGTGTGAATTGCTAGAGTAAAGGTAAATACCTAATGAGAAAGACATCCACTGTGCTACCTGTGAGCATTGTTTTAACATGTTACTTTAGTCACCTGAATTTAATAATGTAAAGGCTGAGTCTATCCCCCAAAAGCTAATATAGAAAAAAGGCAATATTTTAGTATTCCAAGTCAAGAGAAAACAACATCTACCAGAAAATAGAAATCTTATATCAAAAGACAGAATATTAAAACTGGAATTAGTATTGGCCTAATGCATGATAAGAGTTCAGTTTACCATAAATAAAATACAGAAATAAAACTATGAAAATGTTTTAGCATTTAGAATCAATATAAAAGTGTTTGAGAAGGGGCCTGGGATTTAGCTCAGTAGTTCTGCCGCCTGCCTCGAAAACACAAGGTCCCAAGTTCAATCCCCGGTACCAAAAAAAAAAGTGCTTGAGAAAATATTTCAGTGAGTACAGGAAAGGTCATTATGTGAAGACAAAATAAAGAAAAAATGTACTCTAAATGAAAATTAGAAGGTAGAATGTCCCAAAGACAAGCTTGCATTTCATGATGTGGAAGCTGGGGTGTTTGAAAGTGGGGAGGTTCCATTTCAAATAATTCTGATAAATTCTGGGTTAAAGTTAACCAAGTTTTTCTCCATTAAGATTTCTAAGAACCTTTAGTAAGATAATGTGCTTTTGAAAGGCAGGTATTCTATGTAAACCTGCTTAGATTTCTTTGCCCTCCACATCTTTTTTTTCTCCAAAGTATTTAATGGGACTAGCATTCCACAGAACAGATAAATGTTGGAGATGCATTAATGAATTTAGGAATTTGAGTGGGTCTTCAAGAATGAATGCCAACAATCAACTTCTACTTAATACCATTAATTTTCTTTATCCTTATCAGTCATCAATCATTACTCAATGCTACCTCCACACAATATACTTAAATCCCCAAAGACTATTAAGTTTGGATTTAGGAGCACAGATTTTTATAAAAAGAAATAATCTTCTCTAATACTGAACACTAAACCAAAACAAAACTTGAAATCAACATATTAATCATTTTAAAATAGGCAGTTTGACAAATATTGGGATGCTATACCTCATCAAATTCTTCAGTCATTTTTCTGATGATTTCTGCATTCTGCATATTTCGAAACATCTCTATTCTCACAGTACCTGTGAAACAACAGATTTTACAGTTAATCTTTATCTATCTCATGCTAAACATTAAGTTTAATCTGACCATTTTATGAAAAGTTATATAAACCCTTTTGGGTTTCACTTTCCTCCTCCAACTATTCTAAAGAAAATTCTTTTGGTAGGGATGCCTTGAGACAGAGTCTTGCCATGTAGTTCAGATCAGCCTGGAACTCCCTGTAGCCCAGGCTGACCTGGAACTAGTGGGGATCCTCTTGCCTCAGCCTCCCCAGTACTGAGATTACAAAAATGCATCACTATACCTGGTGGAAATTCTTATTTAGAAACTACAAAGTTCTCTGGACTTTTCTAAAGCCTGGAAGTACCATAAATTAGGTAAGTATAGAGTATTGAACAAAGAGTGTAAAACACTGAATTTACATTATAAGGAGAGCCCTATAAAGACTGATTTAAATATTCACTGAGGTTGTCTAGCCACACAGGTAGGTAGTTGGTCTTTTAAATCTCCAAGGATTCCTGTAATCCCAGTACTTGGGAGGTTGAGGCAAGAGAATCTCCACTAATTCAAGGCTAGCCTGGGTTACATAGTTTAAGGAAAGCATGAACTACATAGTGAGACCCTGTCTTAAAAAACAAATAAAACTTGGGCCAGGGATTTAGCTCAGTGGTGCAGCCGTCTGCCTGGCAAGCACAAGGTCCTGAGTTTGATCGCCAGTCCCAAAAATAAATAAATAAATTTTTTACAAAACTCTCTAGGAATAAAGTATATATCTCCCTTATGGCTCTTTCTGATATTCTTTATTATCAAAATGCTCTTCTGGAAATTTAAGCAAAATGTCCCTTGACCTAATAAAACATTTGTTAAATCTGTTTCCCCTGAACATCAAAAGTTGCTATATGGGGCTGGGGATTTAGCTCAGCTGTACCTGCCTGCCTGGCAAGCACCAGGTCCTGAGTTCAATTCCAGATTGGGGGGGGGGGGTTTTGTCTCAAACATGCAATTTCTTGGTGACTATCCCTCTAATCCTAGCACCTGGGAGGCTTAGGCAGGAGGTTCAACATGTTAAAGGCCAGCCTGAACTACACAGACTCTGTCTCAAAAAACCAAAACCAAACCAACCAAACAAAAAACACCAAACATATAACTTCTTAAACAAAACTGAAAATTTTGTATTGAATTTTATCTTATGACAAAAACAGTACTGAAGGTTTTTTTTACACGCTACAATTTTTTTCTTGAAAAGATTTTTTAAAAATGAAATAAGCAGGAAAACTCCATTCACTTACTATCACAGTTAACTTTCTGAAACATTCACAAACATAACCCAAATTAAATAAAATTTATAACTGGGTCATAAATTATTTTGTTACTCTGAAATAGATTCCCATAGATAGAAATAATTTCTAGGAATTGTTTTCTGGCACTAATACAGACAGTACAATTGGGGGCAATGGACCACTCCTTTTCCACTCACTTGAACCTGAGCAAAGCCCCAGAGCCAACCCCCTCTGACCTTTGTCCTAAGTGAGGCAAACATAAAAATAAAAAAGACCCCAGGAAATTCCTAAATTTCCAGGCCAAGGTACATGCATTTCTGGATCCATGAGCATGACCTAGATGACCTTTCCTCACTCAGAACTTGTTAAAGGTTCATACACATGGACTGCATGTTATAACCAAGTGAATTCTAAAAAAGGACACGTATAGTGGATACAATTGAGATGACTCAGCACCCTGTCAATCATATTGCCATGAAAGACCCAATGGGAGGTACCCCAGGTGAGGCGCACATTTTCAAATCCTTAAATGCAACTTATTTCATGTCTGTTCCTTTCCTCCTGCTAGCCTGTGGCATTTTGCTCCCCACTACTGTTATTTTTCCTTTTCTGCTGGCATGAACTTGCTCACTCTGCGCATACTTTCCCCTCTTAATTTCATTAAATTTAGCTACTTTTACCTTACCACTATGTACATAACATCCAATTCTTTGTTCATCGTATACAAAATCCTAAAACCAATCTCCCCAAATCCCATCACCCACAGTATCAGCACTGTTGATAAAATTATTCATGAATGTTGAAACAAATGAAGTAAAACTAGAATTTTAAATGATTTAAACACAAGATTGTTCAAGTGTACACACAAAGGTTGACAGCCAAAAGGTTAAAAATTCTTAATCTCATGATAATAATATTATATTCTAAGGGATTAGAAAAATACTGGTCTAAAATTTAGGGGTTAAAGTAAATCTATACTATAATAAAATAATTACACGGCCTATGTTCAATCTTTCTGTCTTGAACCACCAGTCACAGAAATTAACTTACATATGGAAATACTGGCACTAACTCAACCAGAGATTCTCCAACTCAGGCCAAATTTACCTTTTTTTTCCTAAGTATTTTACAATGTTCTCTAGTCATTGTGAAAAAAATCTATTGTTACTATGACAAATCTATACCTGTAACTATCTATACCTGTAATTATTTAAAAATAATTACAACAAAGTATATGCTTTATTATTATGCTTAGTTACAACTTAGTACTTAGCATTAGCTGCACACTGTAATAATTACAAAGTTTACAGCATTTAAAATGTCCCAATGAATATTCTGAATGAAATAATCACTAAAGAATAGTTTCCACCAACTTTACTTAAATTTTAAAGTCAAAGTGGATGGATTGGAGGGAGTGAGGAAAAGGAGGGAAAGTGAGGGATAAAAAGGAAAGCAAGTACAGGAAGGAAGAAATATAAAAGGGAATAAAGAAGGCAGACGCTGTGGTCCACATCTGTTATCCCAGCTACTCAGAAGGCTAAGGCAGGAGAATCACACAAGTTTAAGACCAGTGAGGGGAATCTGGCAACACCCTATCTCAAAAATAAAAACAAAAGGAAGAAAAGGGAGGAAGAAAATTCTTAAAAAGTTTGACAGCAAATTTCTCACTGCCAAAAAAGAATTGGGATATTACACTGTACTGACAGCTGAGAATAAGAATCATATCACCCTGCAAGATTCTAGATAGATTAGGTAAGGGAATAAATAACTTTAAATAAATTAGTATTTTTTAAATGAAGATGCTATCAAGTTAACCAGACAGGAACCACATCACAATTATCTCTCCTTATATTTTCAAGTTTTTATATTATTAAGCACAAATTAATCACGTTAATATTCCAAGTACAATGTTAGATTCTACTAACACAAAAATACCTAAAGCATAATCAGTAAATTCAAAATTCACTTACAAAAAAAAAAATCTCAGATTCAGCCTCAGCAATTAATGGTAAAATCAATTCTGGAAAACACTGAAATCAAAATGAAGGATTCTATACCCAAACTACAGTTAAGACACCAGATTATAGACCAAGGGAAACCTATCCTAGTCAAAAGTATTTCAAATAAATTTCTATTATGATACTTTTTTTTCCTTTGTTTTTTGAATATAAAATTAAGATATGTAAGAAGATACAGAAAAGCAAAATAATCAACTACAGTGGTACCTTGGTTAAAAACGCTTTTGTTTATAAACAATTTGTTTTGCAAACAAAAGCATGTAGAAAATTTTTGTTTTTGTTTGCAAACTGTACAATGGATGACAAACATGACCATGACCATCTTTCTCCGTACACACAAAGGTGGTTATCTTTTTAAAAATTGTGGAACAAATTCAGTTCGTGAACCGAGGAACCACTATATTATTATTTTTCGACTACTTTAAAATCTGCCTTTCCATGAGTGCTTTTCAAAATAGGGAAGTTTTCAAAAGTCACTTCAAAGTCTTCAAAGGGGAAAAATGTAATTCTATAACTTAGTATTAAAACAATTTACTATTTTAACACTAACCTAAATATGCTTGTAACAATGTCTTCATAATGTTATCATAAGATAACTGAGTTTATTTTAGGTGCATGGCTTGTAATAGTCCTAGAAATGATTAAACCAGTGCTTGTACAGTGTAAAGATGTTAAATTTTATAAAGATACAAAGTGACATTTGTTGTTTTTTCTATTCATTTCTCACTGGAATTTAGAAAAAAATCATTAATTTTTCTTAGATTCCAAAAATCTGTACAAAACAATTTCATTTTCTTGAGAGTTTTCACTTCTTGAAGTCAGATACACACGAACACACCACTTCAAAGATTTTGATAATTCTTATTTTAAAGTCTTTGATAACCAGCCTCCAAGATGCCCTCTATCCCAATGATTTCCAACTGGGCCGGGGATTTAGCTCAGTGGTTCCGCCGTCTGCCTCTAAAGCACAAGGTCCCGAGTTTGTTCCCTGGTACCAAAAAAAAAAAAAAAAAGGGATTTTCAAATCCCATATGCACGAATTCCAATAATTTCCAACTCTTGCTCTTTAAGCCTTTATATAATCTTGCATTAACAAGAGGCTGAACTTTATGATTCTTATCTAACAGAATAGTTAGGCAATGATTATATTTGACTTGAAAGCTACATCATAAAGTCAATATAGTATCACTGTTTTTCTCTTTAAAACACTGTGAGAAACCATGTCATGAATATTCAGGCACCCTACAGAGCCCTGTGTGGTGAGGAACTGAGGACTTTTGCTAAATACCATGTGAATAAGTCTTCTTGGAAGACAGTCCTCTCACAGACAAACCTTAGGATGACTTCAGCTCTTGCCCATAACTTAACTGCAACTTTCTAAGAGATTTGAAAAGTGAGATCTCCCCAGTTTAAGCTGCTCTCAAATCCTTGAACCACAGAAGATACACTAAATGGTCGATGTGGATAGTGTTATTAAATAGTAACATAAAACTAATACAGATTTTGAGAAATATTCATAATTTTGGCAGAAATTCATATTTTAAAAGAATTTTAAGACTAACCATCACAATGAGGTAGAGGCAACAGCGCTCATGAGATACTGGCAGAAGATCACCAAGTTCACATATTTAGACATGCATGGGGGGTGGGGGAGGCACAAACAAAAACTTTACAGGTAAGTAACTAGAAGGAGAAACCCAACAAATGAAATACAGTATTATG